TGTTTGGATGCCATATTCATTCTTGGTGGTCATTACACAAGATCACTAAAACATGGATTTATTAATACTAAATGCTATAATCAAACAAAAATTCAGTTTGAATGAAACTCAAATGCATTTCAAAAAATCTTCTTGGATGGAATCTACATATAATATTGGTAGATAATGACATGCATGTTGTTGAATAATCTCAACCGTTCATACCATATTTAGATGTCCATTTAGCCGTAGGTCCTTCCAACGTGTATCCCATGTCTAAAACCCAAGATGGTCGTCTTCCTTTCAAATGCAGACTGACTTTTTGGACAGAGTCTCATTTTTTCCTTGACATTTGACCTCTGTTTTGTTTTGGCAAAATTGATATAACGTGTTTATCAATGTGGAAAATCGTTTGTGAAGGTCGTACAAAATTAAAAATCAATATGCACGTGTCAACACCTATACAAAATTATCGTTAGAGATCAAATAAAATTAAAAAAATCAGTATGCACGTGTCAACAGCTATACAAAACTGTCTTTAGAGATCAAATAAAGTTAAAATGTTGTAACCTGATTTGTAGAAATCAGGCTCTAGTGGGACGGTATAGAGTTATCATTTTTTCAAAATATATTTTGACAGAGTCTTAAAAATATTGTCAAATTTATATCGTTCAACTCAAATAAATGGCGTTAAAGTATGATTACAACCTTATACAAACTTCACCGAAAATTTAAAAGGAAAAAGTATGTGTAAGGTGTCTTGGAGATCCGTTCCTTATTACGATTGACAGCTAAAATGATTCTTACTCTATAAACATGAACACAATACTCGAGTAATGCACCACCATTGAAGTTTTTAGGGAAAATTATACGAGGCTGCTACTATATAGAAAACAACGTGTTAGTTTGAGAAATTACTTCTGTCCTTGGATTATAGAAATCGGGTGGACCAAATGCTTCTAGGAAGCAATTTCATCTAGTGTGCCTTTGGCTACGGTGGTCAGTTCCCCATTTATCTGGCGTTAGGGTACTTTGTTTCATCGCACACTCAAGCTTGTCCTCGTGATAAAAAAGGTCGATTTTGCAAAAAAAAAAAAAAAAAAAGAAGAAGAGTTTTTCAGCTCGAAAGGCTTATGTTGATCATATATGGGCAGCTAGATCCAACATTAGAAAAAGAGCTATGTTTTAATTGGCTAGCGCTTGACAATTTATGACCCTATATTCGAGGCTCAATTCCTACCAAAGGTAGGGGCCCTCTCCCCAAGTACTCACCCAAAAGAGAAAAAGTAGATCCCTGAAAGTCAATCTTTATTTTTTCTTCAAGAACTTGTTTCGCCCAGCCCAAAAAAGGGGAAAGGCGAGCTCCTAAACTTCCCCTCTCCAAAAAAGGAGAAGGGCGAACTCCTAAATAGGAGCTCGCACCTCTTATTTTTGAGGAGTCCGAGCTTCCAGCTTGTGCCTCCTACTACAATAATAGTACAGTACTCTAACTTATAAAAAAGAAAAGAAAAAGTGCAGTAATCTCCATTCCCCCGTGAAAGTATTAGGAAAAGAAAAAGAGGAGTTAGAGCTTCCAGTTTGTGCCTCCTACTACAATAATAGTACAATACTCTTACTAATAAAAAAAAAAAAAGTGCAGTAATCTCCATTCCCCGCGAAAGTATTAAGAAAGGAAAAAGAAAATGCTACATTCTATCAAAAAAAATAAAGAAAAATAAAATGCTACAATTTCTATGGAATTCCCGAGTGTTAAACACTCCTAGAGCAAATATCACACGTAGAATTAGAAGACCTATGTCAATATTATTCAAAACTTTCCTTCTTATCTATTCCATCTTCCTTATCTCTCCAATATTTATCCACCACTCAATGATCAACCCCACAGTTAGCCTCCCTAGATATCAAAATGCATCGAGTTGTAGCCTCTAAATGCAAATTGCCACACTCTAAGGGGTTGTTTGGATACTAGGAAATATATTGTCTGTAAAAATATATTATTGGCGTAACACATTACTGCATAATACATTACTTGCAAATGGATTGTCACTGTTTGGGTAGTATTTTGATGCAACATGGGAAATATATTGCTACTGTTTCGCTATGTCCTGAAGAAATATGGGTAATGCATTATTAAAACTTATCATCATCATCATATTTGTTGGCTTCCAACAATTCAAGAAAAGATGCAAATATGATGCCTTCATTTCATTATTAATTCATTCAAATTGTGAAAGTACCAATATGAGAAGCTTAGACAGACTAAAAACTAGAAATTGCATACAAACAATATAAATTATTTGTAGAAATGTAGAATTTTGCTCAAACAAAAGACACAAAAATAGAAAGTCATGGACAGAGGAGATCAAGTTTAGCATCACAAAAAAAAAATAAAAATGAGTATCTTACACTATAAACACCAATCTCCATACATTCAATAATCACAATAAACGCACAAAAAAATCAACATGAGTAACTGAAATTATTTTCATTGTATGAATTGAACAAATAATAACAGAAAATCTAAATATCTTATACTATATGGATCAAGCTCCATACAGATCAGAGAAAAGAAAACGAAGGAAAGGCATCATGGTACATAGTTCATGAGATTAAATAATCAACAAAAATCAAGAGAAAAGCATCAACGTAGATAATAAAGTGCATTCAATGTCCCAATAAATCAAATAAAAATTATCTGAAAAAAAAGAACAAGGATACCAAACAGATCGATTCCTAAAAGAAAAAAAAATTAAACAGATCGATCCCTAAAAGTTAAAATGTAAAAGAAAATACCACGAAATGGATACCAAACAACTCGATTTATTAAAAAGAAGCAATTTCATAACAAATCCATTCACAATTTCTTCATGCGTTCGTAATTGCAAACAATATGTGAAACCATGATAAAGGACATGGAGAGTCCAAAATGTCCGTAGAATGATACTCAAATAAGGCTGGGTAGAGATACAAGTGTGAAGATTAATGAGAGCATACCTTGAAGTGAATGTGAGATTGGGTGTGAAGAACTTGGGGTTATAGAGGAAGAGTATACCTGAGCTTCAAGGGCTTGAAAGGGGTAGATAGTGAGTGCGGGATTGGGTGGGAAGAAATTGGGGTTGTAGAGGAAGAGAGAAGAGGCGGCTTGAGTAGAGTAGAAAGAGAGGGAGGGGAATGGGTTTCGTGAGTGAACTTGAGGTTGTAGAGGAAGAGAGAAGAGGTGGCTTGGGTAGGGTAGAGAAAGGGAAATGGGTTTCATGAGTTTTGAGAGAGAACTTGGGTTGCAAAGGAAGAGAGAGAAGATGTGCCTTCGGTAGAGTAGAGAGAGAGGAGAATGGGTTTCGTGAGTTTTGAGAGAGGGGCTAAACATTTCCCATGAGTTTTGAGATAGAGAGAGGCGCGAAACATTTCCCACAAATTAGACACGTGCGGAAATTTTGAGTAATGTATTTTCATTTTCTTACCGTTGACATGTACCCCAACACTGAATATATTATATTTCCTTGTAATCTATTTTCATTTAATAGATTTTTTGGTATCCAAACAAACCCCTAAATACACTTGTAAAAAAAGCATCAACCTTGTAGTGTAGAATTAAAGTGCATGTCAACCAATTAGTAAAAGTTGTTTTTATATTAAAAAATCCTTGAATTGATCATAGTGCCCATGAGGTATATGGATATAATTATGAAAAACTTTCGAGCCAAATAGATTTATTGGTATCCAAACGATCTCTAAATACATTTGTAAAAAGTTTATATAAGGCATCAATCTTGTAGTGTAGAATTAAGGTGCATGTCAACCTATCAGTAAAAGTTGTCTCCATATTGAAAAGTCCTCGAATTGATCATCTTGCTCATGAGATGTATGGATATAAATACGAAAAGCTTTCAAGCCCTAAAACTAGTTCATCTTGTAATATATATTTAGACCGTCTATTTTTCAAAATTTTAAATATTTATAGATCGACTCAATTCACACTATTTTTTGAGCTTTAAGTTTTATTATTACATATTGAATTATATTTTTATGTCACAGTAAATATTTACAACATTTAAAATTACATATTTAGGCAAATATTGGAGGTGCGCCTTAGTTTGGTTGTTTGAGATCGAGGCCTTATACAAACTACACCCAACTTATTTTCGTCCCATTTTTTAGGTAGGTGATGACCATGAGGGCCTCGTTTTGAAGCATGATGACCACAACGCCCTCTCACATCTAATTAGCCGTATCATCTCCCATAAAAAACAGAAAATCACATGGGTATTTTCGTCATAAAAAAATTATACAATTGCCCGTTAAAATTATTCAAAGTAAAAAACCAGTCTAACTTTCCTCTTAAAAATTAAAGATCACCTTTTAAAAAAAATTGTTTCATGCAAGCTTGACCGTATTTCTAATAAAACATACATCCTAAAGATAAATGCAAGTTAGTGTTCTATTTAAAAACAATACAAACTAACCGTCTAAATACTTCCTTATTAAAAATATTATTTATAGTACTAAAGATTACATGTCCTTAATATTAAAATCCATCTTAAAGGCTTGTCTCTCTCTTTCTTGCACAGGGTTAGAGAGCATGAGAGAGAGAGAGAGAGGGGGAGAGAAGTAAAGAGAGAGAGAGGATATTTTGAACTTTACCCCTATTTTACTAAAAAACGCTGAAAGGGGAAAGCAACCCTATAAAGAGTCCCTGAGAGAGAGAGAGAGAGAGAAGAGAGAGGATATTTTGAACTTATCCCCATTTTACTCAAAAATGCTTAAAAGGGGGGAAAACAACCTTATAGAAGAGTGCCTGACAGGGACTCCTATAATACAGGTTATGTTTAGAGCGAGAGAGAGGAGAGAGAATATGGTTTAAAAAAGAGAGGAAGAAAATACTAGAAATGGTCATGCTTAAAAATAAAAATATGTAAGCATTTTGCCTAAATAATTGAATCACAGGGACCCAGGTGCGTACCTTTCTGCACCTTTTGTTCAAAGGCTCCAAACTTGATATTCATAATTTACAATTGTTTTTTCCTTATATGAATCTTCCTCCGTTATATATTTTTTCTGATAGTAAAATAAAGAGAAAAAAAACTCGTTTTATATGAATATTTTTTATTATATAGTCATCTGAACAATGAGAAATGCTCTGAAACTATTTCTCCAGGGTTCTTTTTGTATTCATTATGATTTAGAATAAAAAAAGAAGATTCAGAACTGATTATAAATTTTGGTTCATGTTTCTTTTACTTTTTTTCCCCTATATGATCTATAAGCTATTTTAACGGGGGAAAAAAAAATAATCTATAACCTATTTTTTATTTTATTTTTCCAGCATCTTTCTTCTCATTTGTTGGTTTTATACAGCTCATTGTTAGATCTTTCATCTCGTGACTGAAACTCGTTTTTCTCTTTGCTTTGAGAAACTGTTTTCAAAAAATCATTTTTAGAGGTTGTTTAGCGATACAAGTTCCATTTTGAGCTCGTAGATCAGTGCATCAGTTAAAGATTAATAGCTGGTTTTGAAATAATACTATGATTTATTGAGAACTTCACATAGTGTAATCCATCAAAATATTGGAAGTCTTTCTGGATTTTTTCTCTGGTTATAGATTTGTTTTTTTCTTTCTAAATTTTTTAGAGGTTAATCATCCAATTGAATACTATTTTCATATGTTCATGGATTTCACTTAGTTTTATTTGGGTGAGATAAGCTGGGGATTCAGTTTTACAAAAGGAGGTCCATATTAGCTATTCTGCTTGAAACCCAAAATTTAGTCTTGTTATTTATTGCTGTTACAGTTAGTTTAGATATGTAGAATGTGATCTCAGTTTTTGAAGAAATAGAATATCTTTTGGTCTTTTACTTTAAGAAAATACAATTGGTCCATGCATTTATATCAGAAGAAATAACAAATTGGTTTTGCATTATCCTTGAAGGAAAAGTGATTTTTAAGGGTGTATTTTTCTTTGAACTTTGTCAATGATGGAGTTTACAAAAAACTCACATAATGAGAAAAGGAAAAGGTTCTTTGGGTCCTCATCATCTTACTTTTCTACATTGTTGGGGGATGTTAATAGTGGAGTGATGTTGCCGAAAGAACTGGAGCTGGAGAAGGAAGGGGTTCTGGAGTTCAGGATTAAGCTCCCTGATGCTAGAGAAGCCATGAAGGTGAGTGTCACTTTTGCTCATGCTCTTTCTCTCTCTACCATTCTCGTCCTTTTCTCTCTCTTGTTATTTATTTGATGAATTGCTTTCCCACTCTTTCTCCTCTCTCTTTCTTAGGTTGTATGTGACTTGGGGTAATTTTTTTTTTTTGGCTGTGTTGATGTTGAAGATTGTTGGCTGAGATTTAAGGGATTTCTTTTTATCTTTTGATATGTTAACGGTGGGAATGGAGGCATCCACCCCCCGAACCACTGATGCCCCAACCCCATTCCCGATCTAAGGGACCGTTGTGTTCCTCCTTCAGTTTCTATTTAGCTCTCTTTGGTGCTTTGAATTTTCCTAGGGATGAAAAACATGGTGGGTATAGTTCTCCGAGATATATTGTTTCTTCTTATCTTTAAATCAACTCTGCCTTTTGTGGTAATGCACTTTTCCATGATGTTACAATCGTTTGGTCGAGTTTAAATAGTAACTGCTGACTAGTAACTATCAAATTCATTCTGAATCTTTGATAATTTTAATGGAGGTGGTGGAAATTCTATCAAATGGTATGATGGAGTTGATGTTGATCCTTGTGGTTGTAGTACTACTTGCTGTCCAAAATATATTGTTGAGGTTAAAGTTGAATCTTTTATCTAGAAGGTTTTTTCTTGTTTATTGCTTTTGCTATTATTCATCTTCCTCTTTTATGGGAGTGATTTTAAGCTTTGTATTAGGATTTATCATTTAATTTATTCTAAGATGCAGCTGCATCCTTTGATATATTTTCTAAAACCCTGTTAACTTTATACTGGAAAACACGAGACGAAATCTTATAGACTTATACTGTTGCTTGGAGAAATATTTGAAGTTTGTTTGACTTGTATCAGGGTTTTTTGAAGAATAGAGAAGTTGCGGAGTTTGTTAGTGGGGCTTTAGCAGGGGCAATGACTAAAGCTGTCCTTGCACCCCTTGAAACCATTAGGTAACTGTTTGAGCTACTTCATTTATTTGTTTTCTTTTTTTCCTGTCCTGTATCGGCATGCTAGTTTTTTATCTGGAGGAAGTCATTCAATTTGAGCATAAAGAACATGCTTGGAGTATTTTTGCACCACTAGTGACAAATTTATAGGTACATCTATTAATTAACTTTGTGGTTTCGTCGATTACACCCTTGGAGTTTGATGCCTAAAATTGTTCTTTTTTTTTTACAATACCTATATGGAATCAAGAAACATGCAAAGAAATCTCACAACCTACCATAATTGCTGTCTTGTGAGACTCTTGAAATTTACCCCTGTGAAATTTACCCGTGAGGTTACATACGTGTTTGGTGGCAACATCATTTCGAGATATTTTTTTGATTAATTTGGGAATATATGATATGGATGCAGGGAAATGTGTTTGTGGTTGTTAATGTGCCGATCTAGTTCTGGATCTTACAAGTGATCAGCTGATTTGTGTTCATGCTTTTCATTTTTCCAAATATTTTGATTGTTGACTAGCTCTGCATTTTTATTGTTTGCATCCCAAAATTAACATGAGCCCCCTTGCTTTGCGTTTAAAAGAACTCGTATTGCCTTTTATGTGACTAAAAATCTTATATTGTAGATATAATTTTTTTTTTGAATGTATTTATGAATCTTTACTAGGTTCCAGTAGTTGCCTCTTAATATTATTCATGATTTTTATATAACATAGCTAGGAATCCTATACTAGCCCAGCGGGAATGTCAAATGCTTTAATGTATTACTGGAGCAAACTGCATCATTGCGTGTGTTGATGTTAGTGATGACAAATGTGAAGCTTAGTGGATAACTACTGCGAAAGGGTAATGTGTGAGAAACATGCAGCTTATGTGCAAGAAGTGCACAGAGATACCTTCAGTAACGGATTTGAGACATGGCATTGTCCAGTTTTTAAAATGTGTTTCTGGAAAAATGGAATTGCACCAATTGCAAGGTATAAACTATGGGTGTAAAACAATTATTATAATGGAAGCTATAATAAAACGAAAACATTTAAAGCCCTCTTTTTTTGTCATGCACCCAAGTAAATTATTTGTGTGAAACTTTGGGTTATTTATGGGAAATCATGGATTTCCAGTCACGTTTTTATAGATGTAGATATAAGAGGCGCAACCCAATGTTTTTTTGGCTGTTCTTTATATTGGAGTTTTTATCAGTTTATAGAACTTGCAATTTTAAATCTAACGAGAGAATGACATCATCCAACTAGCACATGAAACCTCTCTTTCTCATTTGACAATAACTTCAATGGAAACTATCCATGTTTAGGAACCTGTATCAAAGAAGCATCTTCTTGTTTCGTGATATTTTCATGTGCAGCTTTTAATATATTTTTTTCTCTCCAAAATCTCAGAACTAGAATGGTGGTAGGTGTGGGTTCTAAAAACATTGCGGGCAGTTTCTTTGAGATTGTGGAGCAACAAGGTTGCCAAGGGCTATGGGCTGGCAACGCCGTTAACATGCTTAGGATCATCCCAACGCAAGCCATTGAACTTTGCACATTTGAATGTGTTAATCGTGCTGTATCTTCAGCCAAAGCAAAATACAAGCTTGATAATGGCCAGCAGAAGTCCTGGGTTGATATCAGCCTTGGTTTGCCACTTTCTTGGATCTCTCCTGTTGCAGTTGGTGGTGCTGCTGCAGGGATTGTTAGCACATTGTGTTGTCATCCCCTGGAAGTTTTGAAGGTATTACCGGAAAATGTTGGAAAAATTGAGTAGAATATTATTGCATTGTCATTTCTTTGTAAAATGAATGATTTTCTGATTTTTTAATCAGAAAGTGGCGTATATTTGAGAATGACCAGAATGTTTTCCGCTTTAAATTTGATAAGTATGTAGCTTTCGCATTTATTGCTGAAGCAGTAACAAAATGGTTTTAAAAATGTTTATTGGATGCATGTTTGTTCTTTCTACTTGATTTCTGGATGCTTATCTTTAGCTAATGGCTTTGTTTTTGTTGTTTGCGGCATTTATTAATTGTGACAAATCTTATTTTCCAAACCACTTTTTACAACCTTGATTGGTATGAGCTTTCATTCCTATTTTTTAACTAACATTTATCTATTCATTTTCAAATTACTATAAAGTTACTGGTAAAAGTGGATTTTGATACAGTGAATAAAATTGAAAGAGCATACGATATTCAAAAAAATAAAATTGAAACAGTATATGTAGATCCGAGTCAGGAAACCTATAGGAAAATGTTATGGTCAAATCTATGAGTTTGCACACTTTTGTCGTTGGTCGAAATCCCGGGTGACTTTCTCTTATTTGATTAATGCAATTTCAATACGAAAGGATGACTTTGTATTCTAAGGAAAAGCTACAACTAAAGGCGACTTTAAAAAGCATTCTGGAAATGTTAAAGAGAATTAGTCATTAATCCTTATCTCTTTTGGAAAAACAGGGTAGGCAGCTTGGTTTGCTTTTTCAGACAAACTTAGCTAAGAAACAGTGTTCGGTGTTTGTTTGTACTAAAAGTGTTTAGTATTTCATAATTTCATCTAAACAATCCAACGTGGGAAGAGACATCCGTACAGATAATACTCTATATTAAAAATTAGGTTCATATAATGAAAACTGAGATTATTTAATGCGAAGTTATGGTGTCTGTAGTGGTAGAGCTCACTACTGGCTTATGATAGTGACTGGGGTTCGATCCTCAAGGATACCTATTACTTTTAATACTGAATAGTGGTTTTATATGTTATAAATGTACATTTGAAAATCTTGTACAGTTGCACGCCCATTGGCCAGGCGGTAGGGCAGACCTGCATCTTCAATAGGTCATGGGTTCGGATCCTTTTGGAGCTCATTTATTTTTATAGCTTGATAAGAAATTAAGCCTAACAAAAAAATGCTCACCACGTGATTTGAACCCACTACTTTAAGCCCTGTCAAAGTATACTCTACCTCGGGAACCGTCAACTATAGTTGTCAATAATATGCAAAACACTTTAAAAGAAATACCAATACACACTGGAAAAACAATAAAACCATGAACACGTCACGTCAGGGTATCGGGGCAGTGTGCAATAAGAGTTGTGGAGTACTCAGGTAACACTGCCAAGAAAAAAAAAAAAAAGATTTTTGAGACATACTTTGATCTTACACGAATTCAGTGTTTTACAATTGAGATGTAAGTTCAATTCTTAGTACTTCTTTCTTTTCTGGATTTTTTCCATTTTTGATGAATCGTAATCTCCTCACAAAGGGTCAAGGTTATAGTCTAAATATAAAATCAGTTTACAAAGCATTCTGGATGTTAATTTGTTCAATTGTTTTTTTGCCCTTTCTGGTTTATTCAGGAGATGGCTAATGAATCTAGATCCTACATGTTTTTATTCTGCCTTTTAGTTCAATGCTTCTGTTGGTTGATTCACATAGAATTGTCAACCATGGGAAAATAAACCATCTATATCTGATATATGCATATTGGTACATGAGGCGGTATCCACTGTTTCTTTTTTTCCTTTTCTTCTGTGAGTTGTCCAGGTCATCTATAAAAAATCTGGTCCATTTCCTATAGTATACAATAACTATTCAACGGACTGTGGTATCGCTATAGTCCACTGGGTTCCGCTCTTTTGTCACTGCCCTTTGTCATCTGATTGGATGGTGATGATCCCATTTGACTATAGCTTTTCATACTCCACTGGATTACATGTCATACTACCCTTTTATTTTTGTGTAAAGACCAACCGATATACTACATTGCTCTGAGAAATCTGTAATCATTTAGAGTAATATTTTTTAATTTTTTATTTTAATCTCGCGAAGTATTTTTAGTAATTTTTATACTATATTTCTTCAGGATCGAATTACTGTTAATCCTGAAGTTTATGGTGATGTGAGGCTAGCCCTTCAAAAGATGTCTGAGGAGGGTTTCAGAGGTTATTATGCAGGCATCTCACCTACACTCATTGGTATGCTCCCTTATAGCACCTGCTACTACTACATGTACGAGTCGATCAAGAAGTCATACTGTGGTGCTAAGAAGAAGTCCTCTCTCAACCGAGCCGAGTTAATTGTGATTGGTGCACTTTCTGGTAAAAAGTTTGTATATTTTTGTGTCATGATGTTTATTATAAGCGGTCTAATAAGGTTGAGGAGCTTAAACTTTCTCTTGATCTGTCCCAAGCTTGGGTAAAAGAGGTGGGCTGCGTTAGATAGGCAGCCATCATAAAACTTTGCCACATTTTATTATGAATCCTGATAATGATGATATTTATTATAATTAAAATAAATGTGGGTCACGCTTATTATGACTAATATAAATGTGGGTCGAGTAAATGCGGGTCGAGAGAGAGAAAGAAACCCATTGAACATGAAGGAATTTAACATGTAAGAGTTAGTGATAAAGTGAATGCACCTCTCAAATCTTTGATTATTCTTTATATAACAGGGTTTAGATTTTACTTTCTCAAAAAAAAAAAAATAGGGTTTAGATTTTATTTAGCAAGAAAAAGAGAGTGATGTGCTGTTGGGCTTGTGGTGTTTTTCTTTCACTTGCAAAATTTCCATGGTTTATTCCGATAATTGGGTACTCCTTTCTTTCTCAGGTTTTACAGCTAGCACCATTAGTTTTCCTCTTGAGGTGGCAAGGAAGCGCCTCATGGTTGGGGGCACCCGCCATACCGACATAATGGGCGCCTTATCAGAAGTAGTGAGGGAGGACGGCCTGAAGGGTCTCTATAGAGGGTGGGGTGCAAGCTGCCTCAAGGTAATGCCTTCCTCTGGTATCACACGGATGTTCTATGAAGCTTGGAAAGATATACTGCTTATGGAAAGGAGAATACCCTTGTAAGAGAGAGAGAGAGAGAGAGAGAGAGAGAGAGAGAGAGAGTATTATTGACAATGTGTCCGGTCCTTACTTTTTTTTGGTCACAAGAGTGGTGGATTGCAATGTCCTCCCTCTCTTTCTCTATAGAATAATTTTGTATTGCTCATTGTATTTTTTCTTTAGACATATTTGTAATTGATCAGGCAGGTGTATCTGTTGTGCTGCTTGATGTTTAATTATGAGCGAATTTACCTTTAGTTGTACTCGGTATATAGAGAAAAAATGTTACCAACCATGAGAAAATGTATGATTTCTTGATGAAATAATGAATTTTTGCTTTGAGGATAAAATAGTCAATGATGATCTGTATCTTTTGAAGATAACATCTTTTAAAAAGTTTATGCTGGGTTCAAAGAATTTCTAAGAACATTGTAAATTACTGAGTTTACTTGGGAATGGGGTTTGGGCATTGGTGGTTAGGCGGAGATGGAGGGCAGTGGTTAGGAGGGCAGATGCTTCAGCATAACATTCTACCTTCCATTCCGTTAAAACACATATATGTTTGTGAGACAATTTACATTTTTCTTCATTCTTTATGATTCCTTTTTTGGGAAAATAGCATTAAAGGGTTCATAGTCTCTTAGAAGTGCTCAAAAGCTCCAATTTCCCACTGCAGGGTTTGGTTTTTAAGTTTTATTTCAAAATGGTATACTTTACCAAAAAGTTTATTAAAATTTTTTTTAAGTACCAATGATTATTAAATTTTTTTCCAAGTACCCATGAGCAACCACTGCAATTTGGTAATTTGGCTCGCCTAAGTTGCTCATACTAAATTACAAAAATATCCCTTCTAATTTTTTGAGAAAGAAAATATGATTGTCAAATGACTAAAATATTTATAATTGTTCAGAGTTTACGAAAACAAACCAACTAATGTTAGAGCTAGTTTGGGAGGAGCATTTCTCATACTATGGAGTGTGACCTTAGGGTTGTAAAGAAGGAAGAATAAAAATAAAATAGTATAAGTATTCAAAATTTTACCCCTATCCTTAGGTTTAGGCTAATTCTTGATCTAGATAGGTGATTCTTGATTTAAATGAGTGAGTGTAAAAACTTCACCCATCCATAATAGGTCGGGTTTGTGTCGCACGAAAGGATTCATGATGAGCACTATTTGGTATGACTTACCACTTTTTATTTTTTTAGGAAGAGGCTTGGGCCCTGGTAGTAGCATCCCCACACTTGGTCACCACATTGTGGTTTCCATACTTATCGCTAACACTACTGTAGTAACACCTTAAAAAATCTAACTCTTAATCTACTTGAAAAAAATAGTTAGGGGCCTCTCTTCCTCACTGAATTACCGCCCCAAAAAAAAAAAATCATGGTATATATTTGCTTCACTAGTTTAAGGAATTGTGATTGTATAACATACCGTACGATGGTTTATCTTTGGGATAAGTGGCATTTCTAGCCGTCAACTATAAAATTGAGTGGCCACGGGTATAATATTTTTTGGCAAATATAAATATTTTTTGAGACTTTGAGCTAGATCCATTGCACATCCTTTCGATTTTACTTTGGTCTATGTGCACGTCTCCCTTAGAAAAAAAAAAATGAAAACCCACATAGGATTCTTCTATTGAAACACAAACTCTTCGAAATAAAAGACCGAGGAGGCATAGGATGTCTTAAGCTTTTGCTTTTGAGAAAGCGAACGGTTCAAGTGTTAGCCGATTTTAAAAAGGCCGATGAAGTGTTAAATTTACCTGATTGAGCTTATGCTAAATCTTTCGCTTGAAAAAACATATTTTTTGAGGAGATAATTGAGTAAATTAAAACAAAAAAAATATAACCCTCTTAATGTAACATGAGATTGTCTCCACCGAAGTAATAATTTTATAAAAGAAGGATGAGGTTTGTATAAAGTGTCCACTTTATACTGTATGCGTAAGACGTACTTCTAAATTTTGTTAGAAGATGGAGTTTTGGTGTCAAAAACTCCATCATGGCCTAACAATCACAAAAGAAAAAGAAATACCCCATATTGGCTTGAAAATCCATATTTGCCTCTTATTATGAAATTTAAATTTTCAAAAACTATACAGATTGAATACATCTATATACACTTGAAAATATTAAAAATAAACTGTCCAAATAACGTGTTACAAGATGCAATGCTTTTAGGATTTGAAATTTTTTTTTTTTTCCTTTATATTCGTACATCTTGAAATCGAGATGATCAATTGGAAGGTTTTTCAAATTTGAAACAGTCTTTTTTATTTGATTTTTTACGTGCATCTTGCTTTTATAATAATATAGGATTGCGTATACGAACTATTTCGATGAAATAATTTAAAACATTTTCCAAAACGACAACACTTCCAAAATAGAGTCCCCTCATCCCATTTAGGAAAAAACGATTTCTATATTAGGGTTCCTAGTGAGCATATTGTAGGCTTCTCAATATAATATTGCAGTTAGCCTTTCATTTTCATTTTCATGCTCTTGCTTTTGCTTTTGCTTTTGTTATCTTATTCTTTTTCTTTTTCTTTTTCTTTTCTAAAAGTCATGCAGGATCGCCAAATATCCAAAAGGGTTTCTTCCACCCCACCCACCCATCCCATCCATTAAAAGAAGGGTGTGGTTTTGTATAAAGTTGAACAAAACAATCAAAGTCAGGCGCAGTTCAAATGGTATGGAAGATGCTGTTTCAATACTGAAATTTTTGTGATGGTCTGATAATTTATTTCATCTTTAATTATAAAATTTAAAGCTTAAAAAATAGTGTAGATTGAACAAATCTATAAATACTTGAAAATCTTAAAAATTAACGGTCCGAAAATGCATTACAAGATGAAATCCATTTTTTTTCATGTCCAATGTATCAAGACCTGAAATCCATTTTTTCTCATGTCCAATGTATCTTAAGTGGAGATGATCAATTTGAGGAATTTTGAATAGGGTGTGGTTTGTATAGAGGCGAGGCTCTAAACAATCAAAGTAAAGCGTACATTCAAATAGCATCGAGAAATGTGTTTCAATACTTGAAATCTTTGTGATAGCCTTAAAATATATTTTTATTATTAATTATAAAATTTAAAGCTTAAAAAATAGTGTAGATTGATCATATATATGAAAACTTAAAAATCTTGAAAATTGACGGTCCAAAAAATACATTGCAAGATGCACTATTTTTAAAACTTGAAATCTATTTTGTACTCATGTCCATGCATCTTGATGTCTAGATGATCAATTTGAGGATATTTAGGCATCAAAACAACCTCTTCTAGTGAAGTTTTTGAGGTGGGTTCTAATTTGATTGTTTAGAGCCTCGGCTCTATGTAAGCTTTTTTATTTTAGGTATCGAAACAATGAATTTTTGAGGTGCACCTTAATTTCATTGCTTAGCACCTCGCGTTTGTACAAGCCTTTTTCGGATAAGTTTATATAGAGCAGAGGTTCTAAACAAATAAATTACAGCCTACCTCAAAAATTTCACTAGAAATGGTTGTTTTGATGGCCAAATATCATCAAGTTAATCATCTCGACATCAAGATGCACGGGCATGAGAAGAAAATGGATTTCAAGTTTTGAAAATAGTGTATTTTGTAACGCATTTTTGGACTATCAATTTTCAAAATTTTAAAGTTTTTATAGATTTGTCGATCTACACTATTTTTTAAGCTTTAAACTTTATAAATAAAAATAAAAATATATTTGAAAGCTATCACAATGAATTTCAATATTGAAATCACATTTCTCGATATTATTTGAAAGTAAGCACTAACTTCAAAAGTTGGTATACGTGTAAGATTACACAAAACCCATAACACGTGCAAGTGAGTTTTTACAAAAATACCCCTCAATGTCACGCCCGTTACTCACGACCTTTCTTTTTGGGTGGGTCATCCTATATGATTTCGAACCTCCGACATGGCATTGACCGTGCTTTACAAAATGGACTGAACTCCACCAACTTTCAAAATGGCTTTGTTTTTAACCGAATGCCAACAGATTGTACTTCTTCTGCTGGAGTACATTGTACATTCACTCCCTCAAACCTAATCGAAGCATCTTTTTGGGGTGAGGTTTGTATAAGGTGTCCTCCTTATAATTTAGAAGTCAGACGCACCTCTAAAATTTGTTTAGAGATGTAGTTTGGGTTTTGGAGACCTTATCATGACTTTAAAACCTATTTCTATCTCTAGTTATGAAATTTAAAATTTTAAAAAAAAAGTCGGATCAAGCATATTTATGAATACTTAAAAATCGTGAAAATAAACGGTATAAATAACTTTGTTACAAGAAACATTATTTTAAAAACTTAAAGTTCTTTTTTTTTTTTTCTTCGTACCTATACATCTCGAGGTCAAGATGAATAATTGGAATGTTCTCCAACATCATAAGATTATCTTTTAGATGTTGTTTGAGATGCACCTTACTTGAATAGTATAAAATTGTAACCTTATGCAAGATTTTTCCTTACGTAAAATTTTTCGACCTTTTAAGGTCCCCAATTTTGACATGTAACCTCTTCAACTCAAGACTAACTTTAAAATAATAAAAAAGTATTTTTATGCACTGAGTTTCTCAGTTCAATGATCTCAGGGTTTGAACTCAAAATATAAACTTTTTCTTTTAAGTACTTATTTAATAATTCTGAAGTGACACCAAATTTTTTATATTGAAAAAAATTCTGCTAAATAGGTATTTTACCCGAGGGAGTATGTGTCCCGCATAAGCACATTATACGTGCGGTTCGAAGACCGAAGTCTAGTAACTTCTTTCTTTGAGAGTATAGTAGTGCACCCAATTAGATCAGTAAATTGCTCTTCTTTTCATCGAATAACCAATCCGGACTATTTTTTATATTTTATTATGGGATTGTATGTAATGAGATCATTTATCTTTCATACACGGAAGTCACAATTATTTACAACTATTTGATGTGAAATCCGATAGCTTGAATGTATCACAAAGTTCGAATTTTTTTTTTTAAAGTTTGAGTTTGGTCAATGAATTTAATGCAGCTACTTAATTTTACACCCAACAGTCAAAACTAATCATGACCACCTTATATTAAAGATAAATATTACATATACTTTTTTTTTTTTATTATAGTGTGCCTAACTCCTCATCTCCTTAACGCGTATACAACCCAAAGTCCAAAAGAAAAACTATCCTATGCATTTTGGTTTTTTGGGAAATACATGAATACAATTTTTGGTTATTTGTAATTAAAGACGTGTTTGTTGTAATTTTTATGGGAAATTTATATTAATATCTTTTATT